AAAAAATTTTTATTACAAATATGAAGTTTTCTGCCCTTTTGTGATATATCTGTTGGTATTGATTGGAAAAAAGTTGTTAGTAAAATAAGTTAGGACAGGTTCGAGCTTACATTGGAGAATAAAAAAACATTTTAATATTAATTTAAGAGATATTTAGTGTATTAAAGTTTTGAAGTAAAGGGTCGGCTTAAGTCAAGTTATCTTTATTATAAATCATTATAATAAAGATAAAATATTGAAACATTTATCATTTTCATCAAATGGAATTAGCCCGAAGTTAAGAAAAGTTTAAAAAAGCAGGCTACATACCAGTCTTAAATCTCTTAAAAAAAAATTAATTTGCCAAAAACATACTCATTAAATCGGTAAAAACCACAAAAATCAAATCTGCTCTTCCTTATATCCATGTGTGTACAAACTTAAATACTTATCCATGTGTGTACAAACTTAAATACTTATCCATGTGTGTACAAACTTAAATACTTATCCATGTTTGTACAAACTTAAATACTTATCCATGTGTGTACAAACTTAAATACTTATTCATGTGAGTATAAACTTAAATGCTCCTGTAAAAAATGAAGAAAAACAAAAAATCGGCGAATCAAAATTAAAATTCTCTTCTCCAGCATCAAAAAAAATGTTAAAAATTTTCCACACTTACCGTGAATTTAACAAAAGTTATTATGTTATTATCTTTACATGTTAGATTAATCAAAAAGTAGAAATGTTTTAGAAACGAATTTTTGCAACCGTCAATGTAATACTATAAGGATTAGTTTAAAATAAATCTCACTCTGAAATTTAAATCATTAATGTACTTATTTTGATCAAACTTTTAAAGCGCAGTTTTCCATACTCATCGTAAGTGTTTCACCCTTATCGACACTTATCGTATATTTTAAAATTTGCTTTAATGCCCGGTGTAAAATGCGTTCGCGGTGTCAAATGAAAAATTAATTCATTAGTAACATTTTATTAAACGTTTTTATGTGAATAAATAAAAAAAAGACTGTTAAACAAACATTAATTATATATAGTTAATGTTTGTTTTACAGTATTTATATATAATATTGTTATATTATTTATTATATATAATATATATATATATAAACATATAATATTTTTATTACTATATTTATATAGTAATAAAAATATTATTATGAATTAAAACTAAAGATTTTAAAGCAATTCCATTACTTAAGTACATATCCTTTAATTTCTTAAAATGGAAAGAATAGAGTTTCATCATAACTATCTGAGTCTTATTTTATAATTAATATCAATATTTAAATGGATCTCGTTTTCTGACTCAGTTTCAAGGCTTTCTTTTTCTTTTGCAACTTTTTTTTTTCAAAATTTTCATGTTTTCTCTTTCTTTTTGACTTTTTTCATTTAATAACTTTTTCTCCATAGCCAATTATTGCTTTCTTGATCTTTCTTTCTCTAATTTTGACTTTTTATCTGCAACTAATTGTTTCCTTCTTAAATTTTCATCATTTATTTGTGACTTTTCTTGCACTTTTGTCTTCTGAATTTGCTGCCACATTTCAGATGTTACAACCGATGGTAAACGTTTTACTTTGCACTCGGACATTTGGACTGGTTGCTTTGGCTATATTAAAACACTTTCGATTTGAATAATGATTTCTGATACTATTTTTAAACTGAAAGAAGCTAGTTTTGGTTTTATTACAGCTGCATTGTTGTAATCCGGCATTTTCATATTGGTTATACCTTGCATTTTCTAAATTACAAGTTGTTGATAGATTTTTATTTATACCCTGTTGTATTTCATCAGGTAAAGGTTTTGAATTTGCTGCCACATTATCTAAACGGTCTTATATGCTTCAGATATACCATATTTTTACCTCTTTTCAAAAAATGATACAATTGGAGGAATTCAAGATCACCTTTCCAACCTAAATATTCGTCA